GTGAGCTTGTTGAATCTTTCACCGGATATAACCATAGCAGAGAGCAGATATTGGTGTGTGAGCAGATATTGGTGTGTCGACCTTGTCAAGGACATAGAAGTCTTCGGGCTGAGAGATACAGAGGGCGATCTATAGGCTGGTGTTGTCAGAGGAAGGTGTCTCTTCCCCGACCTTCTTTGCCTCTTAGACATCCTGACGAGGAGGCTCGCTCCTCTTTATGCACTTCTTCAGGCGTCCCTCCTTGATGAGCATTTCAATTGCATCCTTAAGGTGGATGCAATCCTCGGTCAGGTGTCCGTGGCTCCTGTGGAACCGACAGTACTTGGATTTTTTGACATTGGGCTTGGGGGGCGTCGGCCTGGGAAAGCGGACCCTGCCTTGTTGGAACTCCGAGTTTATACACTCGGCTAGGATGCACTCATGAGGAACGGTCAACAACGTGAACTCGGAGAAACGGCCTGTCGGTCCCCTATGTTCACGGGAGTCTCGGGGTTTATCTTCTCTTCTTTTCTCCCCGCCACGTCGAGGAGCCATATGGTCGTCACACTTCACGACTTTGGAGCCCTCCTAGTTCTGTGAGTCACAGGAATTTTTAGCAGCCTCTCTCTTTTTGTACGGGATATATGCATGGGCTTTGAGGAGAAGGGCATTCAACAAGTGAGGCGTCTCAATGTCGACTGCTTTGGCGAAGTCGCTGCGGGGATGCAACCCTCGCTCAAGCAGGTATCTCTTCATCCGAGCACTCGTGGAGATCTGGATGGCTTCTCGATTGAACCTTTCGATGTAGGCTTGGAGAGGCTCGTTCTTCCCCTAAATGATGGCCTCGAGTGACGCCTCAGATTTCGGGTATTGTCAAGAGGCGGTGAAATGTCTGATGAACTATGTCTTCAAGTCCTTCCACGAGGTGATGGACTCTGAGGCGAGGCTCATGCACCACTCAATGACACCTTTCCTTAGAGTCGTGGGGAAGAGTCTTCACTTGATGGTGCCCCCGATGTTGTGGTAGTCGAGAATCGCATTGATGTTCTCAATGTGGTCGTTCGGGTTTGTCGTGCCATTGTAAGTCGCCAGACTTAGTGGGGTTTTCCATCCCGACAGGGATGTGGGTCTCCACGATTGGCCACGACAATGGACCGCGGGGGTCGTCTTCGTCATTTCGGACGGGTGAGCGCGACGGGAAGCGGTCCTGCTAGGGGCATTTCCCGCGACGCGAAGAGTTCTTTGGTCGATCCTTTGGCTTCTCTAGCTGCCCCGTCGATTTTGCTCCTTTTGGGAGCCGGGGAGCGCCGCTCTTTGCAGGGAGAAGTGCGATCCCACTTTTGGGTGATCACGGCTTGTGGCCTCTCTAGCCGCGACTGACGTTCGAGTTTTCATGGTGAGAGACTTTGAGATTTGTCCCGTTGGTGTCTCTGCGGGGGAGAGTGAAGATGGATTTCTCGTCATCGCGGGGACGGACTACGAGAAACTGGGTGTCGATATCTCCTCGGAGGAGAGCATGATTAGCGTTCTTTCTCCAGCATTCTAATCCGTTTGTTCTGCTAGAAAATTATAAGGTTCACTTGGTTGATTATCGCGAACAAGGTCACAGTGGTAGGATCAGCATTGGAATTGGTTGGAAAATCACTGGACTCTCGAAACGCTGGGCGACGTTGTAAGCCGCATTGTCGGGGGAGGGAGAGGCGGTGAGCCCGTCCCTAATGTCACCTTATTCAGCAGCGGGCGCCACGTTGTTGTTATGGCCATTGTTGACTGGCCATAATGACTGATAGGTAGTTAAAGAGTTTGCTTTGGTCTTTTGATTTCAGAGAAAGAAAAGACGGGGGAGAAAAGGATTCCCTCAGACGGCGCCAATAATCTTGTCGGGATCATAAAGAGGATAAGCAGCCAGCAACGTGTTGTGAGCTCCAAATTCAACGGTGGTGGAGAAGAGGAGGGGTCGTACCTATAATACACTCAGATGCCAAAGTGAGAAAGGGAGTGAAAAAGATAGCAAGTACAGAAAGTGAGTGTGAATCAGGATACCTGACACTCATGTGGAGGAGGGTATTTATAATGTGCCCCTAGCGCTGGGCCAACAATCATCTGCTTTGGGCTGTAGCCCAAGGCTCACAATAGATGACTGCCAAGATCCTACGTGATAGTAGGGAAGACCCATATATGGTCTTCATCTTGGACCAACTGCCCCACGAACTCTGCGGAGTGGAGAACCTGTTCTTTCAGACGTGGGAGGTTGGTTGATGACGTGTTCTCGCGTGGGGAGCACATGGAGAACATGGAGAGGACGTGTGAGAAACATTTCCTCCCGCGGTGATGGCAGATTGGGCCCTCCCCGACGCGGATCTGGGTTGGGCCGTGCCCGACGGTGGACCAGCCTTAGGCCCATTCCAGAATAATTTCCATTCCACTTTTAAATAAAAAAGAATTAAAAAAACTTATTAGCACCATTTCAATCTCAAACCATTTCGAACCAATTCAAAGTCATTTGAAAACCAAAAAGTAATTCATTTCAAATCATTCCGTAATACAAATCAAACCTCGATCAACATCAAATGCATTTTCCCAATCAAAAACAAAATACTTTATCATAATCAAATATATTTTCACAAATAAAGATGAAAAAGGAATGTGGTGTATATCACGCTTTCCCCGAGGGGTTGGATACGAGGTGTATATCTCGATCATCTGAGTGCTCGTCATCCCTTTACAAAACTCTTAATGCGATTGATGCAAAAATCATTTTTATTATAAATTAGACTAAAAAGGAACATGGTGTATATCACGCTATTCCCAAGTGTTTGGATATGAGGTGTATATCTCAACGGCCCGAATGTTTGTCTTCCAACCAAAAACAACTAACTATATCTAACCCTTTCACAAATAAGATGAAAAAGGAACATGGTGTATATCACGCTATCCTCGAGCGTTGGATACGAGTCGTATAGCTCGACTATTTGAGCTTTTGTCATCACCCTAAAACATATCCAACACATTCAAACCTTTTCCATTTTGGCTTTTTAAACTTCAAACTCTTTTTTTTTAACGAAAGATGTTTAGTCTCGAGACGATACAAAACAATGCTTCATCCACTTATATGCGTGAGTAAGCTAGCGATGTTTTCCTGTGAATGTTGATTTGTCAATCCATTCTACCGTGATGCAAATGTCCCCTTCTCCACTGTTTTAGGTAAGCAATATTTTCTGTTCGATTGTGATAAAATATCTTTCGCTAAAATCGTGCCATAAACAAACATTTTCTAGCTAGAACTATATAGTCTTGAGTTCTCCATCGCATATGGAGATATGTAAAGAGAGATTCAAAGTCTCGTCAGGAATCCTAATAAAAAAAATCTTTTTTAGTCCTTCTTTCTTTTTCTCAAACTTTTAATAAATCGAGGAATGAAAATATTTCTAGCTAGCACTTATCGCAAAGCTAACTAAATAGTTCTCGTTGAGTACAATGTATATGAGAGGTGCTAATACATTCTCTCGTATAATCGACTCTCGAACTCGATTTGGTTGCGACGACCATATCTTTTTCATCTTTAATGGTTTTATCGATATTTTCTATTTTAGTTTTTAGAACAAATAAAGTTCGGTAACGACTCTATTTATCACCTTCGAACGTGTGATGCGTTCGTGGTTGTATTTTTTCGCATTGCGACAAGTAGTATACTAAACAATTTTTTTAATGAAAAACTATAAACAATAAAATAAAATTATTATTTTTCATAAAAAAATAAAATTATTGTTGAATAAACAATTAATTTAGTTTATAAGCTACCACTCTTTTATTAATTTAACTTTAAGTATTTAAAATGAACTTAAAGATTCATAAACGACTCTTTTATCAAATTATTTCTTATTAAACTGCAGATAAGCTAAAATTAGAGGTAGTTTAACTGTTTTAAGGGTGGTCAATTCTCTTGTTTTGATTGAATTATATTTATGTTCGTCACAAGGAAGACCCATAAAATTCGATTACTGTTAGTGTTGCGACTACCAGTAATTTTCTTACTATCTGTCAAGATTTGGCTAAAATTTAATGTTGTTGTTTTTGCGTTTATTGATTAATATACTTTTAATCTTTAAATTATTATATCAATATAAATTAAATTTGAAGAGTTTCTCTAATCTCTACAAAACCCTCCAAAATATTCCTCAAAAATAAATTTTTACTTTTATCAAATGACAAAGAGTTTGTATTACGAAGCTATAAATCCTTTAATTATTTTATTTTTATATTTAATTTTTTTTTGTTAAATTCCTCTTTATCTTTCTTTTTTTAAACTCAAAAAAAAAAAACATAGAAAACAATTTAAAAAAAAAAAATTTAAAGATAAAGAACCATAACAATAAAGTAAATTTTTTTAATAAGAGTCGGTATAGATCGCATCCTAAAAACATTGGAAGTGCTCCACATCATATATGTTTAATTTGACTTTTAAACTATTAAAATGAACTAATAATTTCATAAAAAAAATTTTATCAAAATTTTTCTTATTAAACTTCAGATAAACAAAATAATTGAATGTAAAAAATATTTAAAAAATATTTAATTAATTTAATAATTCAAAGTTAAATTAATAAAAAATAAAAAACTTAAAGACTAATAATTGCTTGTTAGGATAAATGAGTAGTTTAATATAAAAGTTATTAAAATTAATTATTTATTCAATTTAATTTGATTTTTTATAGTAGATACATTAAAAATATCTTTTTATACTGCCCTGTAATTTTTTGTTTTATATCTTTAAGAAAATATTTAGGTAAATTAAATTTCAAAATTGAGTAATAAATTAATCAAATCGAATAGCTTATTCTGCAAGTTAATATAAAAATAGAGTATCAAATATTAATTAAATATGTAAAAAAAGTACAGTATTAATTAGCACTAGGTTCTGCATTCTGGTTTTCTCTAAACGCGAAACCCCAACCGCCGGCGAACGAGATCGTTTTCTCTAAACGAAACCCTAATCGCCGAACGATATCGTTTTGATCGAAATGGGAACACCGGAAACTTCACGAGAGCCATGTCCAGATCGCATCCTAGACGACATCGGAGGAGCCTTTGGGATGGGCGCCGTCGGCGGCTCTGCCTTCCACTTCCTCAAAGGTCTCTATAATTCCCCCAAAGGCGATCGATTAATCGGCGCAACACAAGCCGTTCGTCTCAACGCTCCAAGAATCGGTGGCAGTTTCGCTGTTTGGGGTGGTCTTTTCTCCTCTTTTGATTGTACTATGGTTTACGTTCGTCAGAAAGAAGATCCATGGAATTCGATTGTTGCTGGTGCTGCTACCGGTGGTTTTCTTGCTATGCGTCAGGGCGTTGCTGCTTCTGCTAGATCCGCTGCGTTTGGCGGTGTTCTTCTTGCGCTTATTGAAGGTGCCGGGATCGCGCTTAATAAGTTTCTTAGTGCTCAGCAGCCTATGCCGATCATGATGGATGAGATGCCGCCGCAGACGCCAGAGAATTCGGATTCGAACAAGTCGTGGTTTGGTGGAATGTTCGGTGGAGCCAAGGAAGAAGAGAAGAATACTAGTGGAGGAAGCGATGTGAAGATTCTTGAGAGTTTTGATGCTCCTCCTGTGCCTAATTTCGAGTACAAGTAAACTAGGGTTTGGTTTTGGCCTTTTGTTATGTTCTTGAATTTCAAATTGAATTTGAAAAATTAGGGGTTGTTTTGAACCTCAATTGGTGATTATCTATCATACTTTAAATTAGTTATCTGGTTAGTTCTTGTTTTGAAATCAACAACAATAATGTAGATTTTCATTACAATGATTTTTTTTTCAATGTTGTTATAATTAGTCTAAGTATACTAGATTATTAGTTGTTTAGTTACAGTGTGTTTAAGTTAAATGCTTTTGTTCTTATGTTATGTATGAGTTTGTTGTGGTGATTTGTGTCACTAGAATAATGAAACAATCTCTTGCTGCCAATTTGAATGTTTTGTATGCAATATATGGATTTGTGTCATATGAAATGAGTCGAGAGTGAAGTAAGTGTTGAAATTTCTTTGTACTCGTGAATTGTTATACCTGTAATTTGTAATATCATTAGCATTAGTTTTTTTTATCAATGGTTGACTTTGCTTACCTTACAATTAAGAGTTAGTTGTTTGCTTTAGAGATGTTGGATCTGAAATGTATGACCTTAAGATTTGGGAGAGTAGTTAGAAAAAATTGTTGTGTTAGAGACTCTATGAAATGCTGTGGTCTTGATATGCTAGTGGACGTTGTGTTTTGCAATGTTTATTTAGTTGGCCATTGGCATAACAATGTTGTGTATGCAGCTATGATAGTGTTGTGTTCAGGTAATTGGCATAACAAAATTGAGTAATAAATTAAAGTTTCTATACATTTTTTTAGGCGAAGTGATAACAACTATTATGACCGTTAGTATTTGAGTTCTTTCATACGTTACCTTATAAATCTCACACATGTTAATTTCAGCTACTATTTCATTCCTGGTGAGATTCCAAAAGATCTGTTTAACTGTTCCAATCTTGAGTATCTTGATTTGTCTTTGAACAACTTTGTTGGCAAGATTCCTTGTGATATTCAAAGTATGGTTCATTTGCAGTATTATTGCAAAGCTCAAGGATTTGAGATTCCTTTACCTTAAATATTGTTTATTTAATGATACTTTTCCTTGAGGTAATTGATGACTTGTTCAATCTTGAGTTCTTTGATTTGTCCTTTAATCCTTTGCTCCTTTGAAGCTTCCATTAAGCTTAACCAAGTTGAAAAAATTGAAGTCTTTTATGATACATGGTTCAAATTTGATAGGGGAAATTCCTGAAAATATTGAAGATATATGGTTGCATTGGAGAAATTGGATTTAGCAGGAAAAAAATTCCTAGTGGTTTGTTCATGCTGAAGAATTTGAACTTAGTGTACCTTAACAGTAATAATCTCTCTGGAGAGATACTGAATTCGGTTGAAGCATTGAATTCGACAACAATTGATCTTGCAAAGAATAATCTTTTATTTTGGAAAGCTCAAATGTTGACAATGTTGCATTTGCACATGAACAGTTTTTTCAAGAGAGATTGCATAAGCGGTCTTGATGACACAAATGCTTTATGAACATGTTTTTAGGTACTCTTCCTATGGGTTTTGGTCTTTTTTCCAAGCTTGAATCATTTCATATTGCTACGAACAATTTTAAGGGAAAGTTACCAGAAAATTTGTGCTATATGGTAAGCTACAATAATTAAATGTTTATGAAAATAGTTTAAGTGGTGATTACCAAAATCACTTAGAAATTGTAGTATCTTGGTTGACCTGAAAATTTTCAAGAATGAGTTTTCTGGTAAAATTCCTGAAAGACTTTGGAGAGCTGAAAATTTGGCTGAGTTTCATGATTAGTGTTAACAAGTTCAATGGTGAGCTTCCTCAAAATTTGTCTTCAAGCATTTCACTTTTTGATATAAGTTATAATCAGTTTTATGGTGGAATTCTAATTGGATGAGCTTCTTGAACTAATGTGGTTTTCATAGTTAGCAAGAATTGGAGTAGCTTCTTGAACTAATGTGATTAAGTTCATAGCTAGCAAGAATTATCTTAATGGAAGTGTTCCTCCAGAGCTAACAGCACTTCCTAAACTTCAAACATTGTTGCTTGATCAAAATCAGCTAAAAGGGTCACTTCCAAATGAAATATTATCATGGAAATCATTAGTGACTCTAAATTTGAGCCAAAATCAACTTATTGGTAAAATTTCAACTTCAATTGGTCATTTACCTTCACTTAGTGCTCTCAATCTATTAAAAAAATCAATTCTCGGGCGAAATACCTTGTATACTTCCTAGATTCACAAATCTCAATCTATCATCGAATTATTTGACGGAAAAGTTCCTAGTGATTTTGAAAGTTCAGCTTTTGATAGTAGCTTTTTGAACAATTCTGGTTTATGTGCTGTTACACAAAAACATATTTCTTAGCCTTTGTGATTTCAGCCTTGTAAAACCAACCAAAACCTCACATTGGTCTATTGGTTTGATTATTAGCCATATTGTGGTGACTTTCTTGTTGGCATTGTTTGCATCATTCTATCAAACTTTACAAGAAAAGTAAACATGAATCGGAAAGTTCATGGAAACTCATTTCATTTCAAAGGCTAAGTTTCACATAATTAGACATACTTTCCTCAATGATAGAACAAAATATGATCAGCAGCTGTGGGTTTGGCATGGTATACCACGTACCTGTTAATGGTTTAACCTATGTTGCTGTGAAAAAAAGGGTATGGTATGGTATACTGCGTACCGGTTAACGGTTTAACCTATGTTGGTGTGAAAAAAATCATGAGTAGCAGAAAGTTAAGGCAAAAGCTCAACTTCATTTCGCACAGAAGTTAAAATATTGAGCAATATTCCTCATAGAAACATTGTGAAGTTGTTGTGTTGTATCTCTATTGAGGACTCCATGATGCTTGGAACACAACAGCCTAGACGAATGGCTGCACAACAAGAATAAATAATAAAATATGTCAGGTTCTGCACACATGCTGTTCTTGATTGGCCGAAGCGATTGCAAACATCCATTGGATGAACCCTCTGCTCCTCCTTCTCCTCAACAACCTGAACGTGCTGCTCCAACAAATTAGATGGTTATACATATCATAACTCAAGGGTTTGATATAATGTACCTTCAATTTTCTAGCTTGGGTGAAGAGTTTGGTTACATACGATAAGATGTGGCTGGGCTTTCATCAAGGATGAATCATTTTAAAACTTTTCATAGGATCATATGAACTAAGATTGAGACTTTTGACTTTGTTTCTTGTTATTGTTTATTTACTTGTTTTGAGATAGTTTCTTTAAGTTACTTTGTTTTTTAAACATTTTTATGATTTGTATTGGTCTAAGACATCCTTATGGTTTTTTTTTTTAGATATTATGCTTGGTTTAGTATTATATGTTGATGTTATGTGTTGTCATTTAAAATATTTTTTTAATTCATGTTTCTCTTCTTTTTGATAATATCAAAAGGCGGAAAATGATGTATACTATGTTTGTGTTTTTTTTGTTTCTATTTCATCAAGGTACATCAAAATAAACTTAAAGAATTCAAGGAATTCATGGATTATGGGGGAGACACTTATCCTGTGAGGATATTTCAAAAACACTCATAAATATCAAGAATGAATTTGTCATCATAAAAAATGGGATATTGTGAAATCAAACTTCTAGATGATTTATATTTTGACGAAGACAAATATATGAAAAGAATGAGAAGATTGTTCAAGGTTAAATAAGTCAAGTATTAACGGTTTGATTTTGCTCAAGATATGGTTTATCAAAGGATTAGAACTTAATCTAAGGTACAAATATGCAATTCATTACTTATAAGCTTTAGGTGCTCAAGCATGTTCATCTAAATCACTCCTAATGTTTTTGCATCAACCTTTTCAACTTGCATATTTTAACTTAGCAAAATTTTGAAACTTTCAATGAAACAATCGATTGCTCTAAGGGCACAATTGATTGTTCAACATCTTTGCCAAACAATTTTTAAAAATTGAACTAGTGACAATCAATTGACAGGGGATACGTAATTGATTAACATATTGTATTTTTTTTATTTTATATTGTTTGAAACTCTGACAAGCAAATTGCAGATGTTCTAACAACATATCACAACATTGTTCTCTACATAATTTTTAAAACAAGGACAGAATAAACAAGATGATATTTTGAGTATCAGCAACAGAAGTAAGACATATGTTTCAACATCTGTTGTAATCAATACTGATTGTAAATTGCAGAATGATAAATAACACAAAATATGATGACCCAGTTCGGTGCAAATCACCTACATCTAGAAGCTACAAAGGCAGAAAGAAGAATCCATTATCAGTAGTATAATTTTATGTAAATAACATCTGATTTACAGTAAACAACCTCTGGTTTACCTATCATTATCCAATGAAAACTTTATCATTAGAAGTTACATCTAATTGATAAGAGAAACCCATCTCACTCCCTAAGTTACAACCTGTGATATCTAACATTTATAGTCACAATAAATGTATCATCATACTTGAAATACACCTCTTTCAATACAAAGTTCAGCCAAGCAACCTTGATTAACAATATATTGGATTTGCTTCAAAGCTTCATTCAAGAACAATACGCGATTCATTACCTACAGTTTTCTGAATCTGTAAACCTATGTCTACCATAATGTACCAAACTGATACAAAGGGAGACTTACAACACAAGAAAGCCTACGAGTCTCAAAACCCTAAACCCTTATTTCCTTTTACAAAAGTGTTACAAGAGATTCAGTTATTTTGTCCTAGGTCTAGGTCTTCCTTTTATAATCTTCTGTAGTCTTGGGCTTCAAATCTTCATTCCTTGATCCACTGCTAACCGCGCCTTGAATCTCGGAACAGATTTAAAAGCAAAACCTGCTGAGTCAGTCATGATGTCCAACCTTCATGCTGGGACATCTTATTCGACATCTTTGGTCTGGGCAAATTTCTTCAAAAAATTTTTGCCAAAATTTAGTCAAATCCTTGGAGCTTTCAATCTCCCCCTTTTGACAAATTTTGGCTAAAACCCTCTTCAGATCGATGGTGCATGCAGTGGAAACTCCTGAAG